TCCTGGCTTTCAGTGGTATTGTCCCTGTTCACCTAGCAATGCCTGCTTGCTAGTGACTGTCTCCTTGAAAAGCAGGCCAGGCCAGTCTCAGGCAGCTTCTCTTTCACCCTGACAGCTGCATATCCCAGGTGGTCTGACATTTGAGATGGAGGCTGTGGCTAAGATTGAAGGTGTTTTAGGGGAGAAGTAGGCTGTGAATAACACCAAGGCTTCATCCAGATGGAATCACTCATGAGACAACCTGAGATACTCTATTACTGTCCATATGTCTCCTAGGTCTCCGAAGGCCAGACTCCATTGATTTATTAGAAGCCTAGTATTTATGTTTTTGGCTTGTCTCACGGCAGACTACAGTAAAGTAGCTATCAGAGATGCTGTTCTTTCTGGCGGTTATTGGATTTTTATAAGTTCTTTAAATAAAACAGCCTCCATAAATATCCTAGTAAACATCAGACAATAAAGTAAATATTTGGGGGGTGAGATTCAGTTTATTTCCTCTTAATATATATCACCTTTTTACAAGTTTCCTCCTCAATGCAGCCTCATAACAAAACATTTCAGGGAACATACCTATTTTATGTCAACAAATGCATTAGAGACCAAAGAAATCCAAATTAAGAGATATAACTGTGCTAACGGTATTGCTTTAACACAATTTTTCCCTGCAGAAAAACTATAAAAGAATTATCTCATCGTTTTATCAGCACAAACGCTGCTACTACTGTATCTTATTTATAGATGGTTCTTTAAGGGACTGTAGTAATATTGCAAAATATCAGTTATTCCATCACACTGGTGAATTTAATGAACCTGAAGGTGTGTGTTATTTTAGCACTTGCTGTGGCTCCTGTGAAAACCCAGTGGTGCTAAAATCTGTAAACCTGTCATTGCTTAAGTAATAACCTTGTTAAAAGCGTCTTCATTTTAACTTACTTTAGCTTCTTCAGGATGCAGGTTTATTTTATCAGTATGGAGGTATGTGTTTTCAACCCAGACCGCTTACAGTAAATATAATTAACTGTAGTTCATTAATTTATTCTTGGAGTGATTGTTTTTATTTTAACACTTAGTTTAGATTAAATATTGCCTGGAACCTGGTACCTATTTTCAGTTCTTTATACACTCGTGATATCTATTGAATCTCTGTGGTTACAGGGATAAATTTTGTCCTTACAAATACAAGTGTTTGTTTTAATCTTTCATATTCCTTTATGTGAAGCCTGACAGACTTTTCCTCACACCCAATATGCACACATACAGAAAAAGAGGTGAGCATGTTTCCGTTAATCTGCTTGCAATGGATTGGAGCTTCTTCTTGCGTTTTAAAAATATGGAGAAAATTGGATATTGATGGTAGGTGTTCAGAATTATCAATTGATTTCTACAAGAGCACATCTGCAATTATTGAAATGCCAGCAATAAAAAAAAAACCCTCTCTCCCTCCCCGTTGAAAGTACTCTTGTAAAGAAAAGAGGCAAAAGAAGGGAAGTGTGAGGGGGGCTGGTTGTACTTGTACAATTACAGTCTTAAAGCCAAAGAAATTCTTCTTTAATTACCTAGAAAGACTAACAGCAAGATGTGTGATAAACTCTGTATGTTATCAAACACTTTGAAACCCTGGGTTAATTGCAATAATGCAATCCATCAATACTGTCACATGATGCATAATCACACCTGCAAATATTGCTTAAATGCCAGGGACTAACTGCTCCTTCATTGTTTTAATCACTACTAGTTCATAAATAGGTTAAGCTTACTTTCCTATAAAAGGCACCAGTAAATGTAAGCAGAGATTGTTCTTTCATTACCGGCCATCCATATCTAAATAAACACACAGAAACTATATTAATTACAACACTGCTTGACCTATTAGCTCAGGCTTCGTATTGGTTAGCTCTTATATTTTAAATTAACCTATTTATATTATTCTGTGTATCACCACAACACTGTGACTTCCTGGATAAGGATCCAGCATATGTCTCCTTCAGCAGCTACATGGTGTCTCCCTGAATCTACCTACTCTGTCTCTCTATCTCTGTTCAGATTTCCTGCCTGACTTTACTCTTCTAAGCCATTGGCCAAAATAGCTTTATTCATCAACCAATAACACAACATATATACAGAAGTACATCCCACATCAAGTAAAAACATAATATATATAGTGTATTAAGTCCTTTTATAATGTTTTGTTTTCAAATCTACTGTTTTTAGTATAACTTTAAGACTCAGTTCATAAAATTGATTGCTTTACATATGTTAAAGTCTTAGAAAAGCCAAGTCTATATTGTTCTTCTCTGTAAGAAAATTCTTCAATGAAAAATGGATGTTAAGTTATGAATATGAATAATAACTAAATAAATTATTGCTCTGGTCAAGATAATATTAAAATATTAAAAATGTAATGTAACCTTGGATAACTATACCTCTATTCCTCTTATTACATGGAATATTTTCAATTTAGGGTAGAGAGATAAAGAACAATCCAAGTCTGTGATAATCTTTAAATTTTTCTTAAAAATTTAAATAAATAAATATAACTTAAAATAGTAAACTAATGTTACTTTTTATTTTTTTTTCTTTCTAGCTTTCTTTTTTTAATATTTATTTATTTATTATATATACAATATTCTGTCTGTATGTATATCTCCAGGCCAGAAGAGGGCACCAGACCTCATTGCAGATAGTTGTGAGCCACCATGTGGTTGCTGGGAATTGAACTCAGAACCTTTGGAAGAGCAGGCAATGCTCTTAACCACTGAGCCATCTCTCCAGCCCCTCTTTCTAGCTTTCCTGGGTGGGGAATAAGACAGGATTTCTCTGTGTATCCCTGGCTGTCTTGTAACTCACTCCATAGGCCAGGGTGGCCTCTAACTCAGATATCCAGTTAACTCTGCATCCTGAGTGCTAGAATTAAAGACACATACCATATTTTCAGCATTGTTCTGTTAATTACTTTGCATTCATTGGTGACTAGATTTAAAAGGGCTTAAGTGAACTAGAGTGTGTATCATGGTGCAGAACTATATTTAAATACATAGTGGGAGTTCATTTTAAAGTTGAAAATACAAAATTTCTATAATTATCAATCCTTTTTACTGTATCTGATTCCAGTTTTTTTTACAATTCAATTAATATTTATGTGTTGCCAAGAAATGACATATTTAGTCAACATGAGCAGCCATATTAATTTTTGTTTGGCCTGACAACTACTATCATCTCTCAACAATACCTGGACAGAAGATTATGCAATTTTATCTTTCAATGACATACACTTTAGGTGTGCATTAAAGTTAAAATAATTTAATGAAATGCACAGTTACTTCAAGGATTTTTTTAATTAAATCTATTGGTTGTTGGTATCTGTGAACTCTTAAGAATAAACACCTGCAGTGCTTTATTATGTAAAAAGGTGGTTTAATTGCATCATATTTATCACCGACAAATCAAGCCCTATTCAGAAGGTAATAATGACAGAGTAATTGGATCAGTAATTGGTTCAGGATGATTCAATATTGTACTAATAATCATAAATACTGCTGTCTTCTGCTTTGATACAGGGGTGACATGCTAATATAGATTGCATTTAGAGCAATAAATATTAGTGAACTGGATCTTGTATTAAGGTCTAGTTCCGTAGCTTAGTTACACTCATCAGAAGAAGCCATAAAACTGAAAGCATATGGATTCTAGTTTATAATATAAATTCAGACAATGTAGTCTATTGGCTCTTTTTTTTTTTAACCAGACATCTTTGAAACAAGCACAAGTGATGGAGGGAAAAATAGAAAAAGAATTTGTTTACTTTTCTTATAAGACTGATCCTTCTGGGAAGCAACATAGCTTTTACATTTTATTGAGCCAAGTTAATATGGCTGATGTGACATGATGACCTGGTGAGCAAAATTATTCTTGTGCCAGTCATGTAACGATGAATAAGAAAATCTTTCCTATTCCATACTGTGTTCAGCAGACACTTGGCGGTTGAACAGGACTATTTCTTAGCTATTGTGGTGGCAGCTTTTCAGAGTCAGCCAAAGGAGGGGGAGGCCCATTATGAAGAAAACAATGATACTTATTCACTCAACATGGAAACTTGCCTTCCAAGAGCATATTGGACAGCTCAGGACTGAAACAAAATTGGCATACCCCTTTTTATCAGTGGAACAGTGAACCAGGATCAACATGTCTGGCTTGGAATGCTGCCTACTGGTGATGTAAATGGATATATTTAGCCGTTTGCTTATATCTTAAGCTTTATATGTATGGGTGTTGTTTGCTGTGTGAGCATCCTCTCCCTATGAAAACAGTCTACTTTGAGGAAGTAGAAAGTGGTACCTTACAAGTTTCAAGGTATCCAATTATGTGGTTATAATTCTTAATCTCCAAAGCTGATAGCCAATTTTAGATAAAGTGCTTACCGAGTAAGAAAGAAATTTCCTGTTATTATTTATAAATTTTAGGTAATAGTATGTACAAAACCCATACATAAGACCCAAAGAATGTAGAAAGACAAGGTGTAGAACTCATTCTTCCTGGGGAAAAATAATGGAAAGTATGTTTTCTAACAGCAAGTGTTTCCTACAGAAGTCAATGGGACCAGAGAATCTGTTGAGTGTGGTTATTCCATTGCCATTCGTTATTTGAGTTCAGCTTTTTAGAAAATTGGAATTTATATTCCTTAGAAAACTTTTATGAAGAAAATTATTATAAAACTTATCAGTAAATGCTCAAAGACAGATGTTGAGTTTACCTTACATCATTTACCTCTGTGTTAATTAATTAATGAACCTTTAAAGATAGGATTTTTTTTTTATTTGACTTGTGTTGCCATTGCAGAATGAGTGGTTAATAAAATAAAGAATGTTATTCGGCTTATGGTTCCAGAGGCTGGAAAATCTAAGGTTAGAATGCAGCATCTAGTAAGATTTTAGGATTGTGTAATATGAAGGAGACATGTCATAGAGGTGGTGTGTATGGAAGAGAAGCAAAGATGTACTCACTTTTCTAACAGCCCAGCGATGATGCCAGTATTCCAACATACAACAGCTCCTTCTTCATACTCTTGTTCACGAGCCAACATCACTCTTGAGTATCAAGCATCCAAACTATCATAGGCACAGGCAAGTGATACCCTTCTCCTTACTGAAGTCTGTCAGGAAGCAGCAGTAGGTGGGCAGTATGCTAGGAAGAAAAACAGTCGGAAAATATTGCGCTTGTGAGATTCAAACAACTCGAACATCCTCATTTAAAAGATAAGCTTCAGTGCTGGTTGGAGGTCTCAGCATTCTGTCTCCATGCAAGATACGGATGTTACTATTTTCTCAGCATAAGCCCAATTGAGTCTGTCTAACGGCATGCACGTTGGCCCATTTTCTACATAGGTGCAAAGGATCTCATCATCTGCAGGAGACTGAGGCCATTGCCAAAGGCAATGATCCAACACCACAGGCAAGACAAGCATATCCTTTCAGTTTCTGAATCATAATGTGGCTGCCACACCTGAGCGGTGAGAAATCCTGCAATGCTTTCATTCACTACCCCAGGAGTTTCACGTGTTTGCAGAATAGAGTTGCCTCCTAAGTGAAGTGACTGTTTATTGTTGAGAATCTCTGAAAGGAAATCTGCTGTCAGAGAGCAGACGAGAAGGCAGTCACTCATCGGCCCAGCTCTGAACCACCTGTGTTAAATGGTAACTATTTCACAAGGTCCCATGTTACCTTAAACCCTATATGTAGTTGTGGTTCACTGGTTTAGTGACATGAGCGAGAAGAATTTGCTGCACTTTCAATCTCGCCTTACACCTTAATTAAGACCTCAACTAGAAATACCAACATTCTTACAACTGGTAGGTAGCTGATAATATTTCTCACCTCACTTTCATCAAATATTATAGAGCTTAGTGAGGTCATTTACCAATGTTTCTTTCTTTTGTTTTTTCTCATGACTAAGAGCCTCCAGTCATAAAATCTAACAAAACATCTGAAGCTATAGCCTTTCAGTTTAAATGCAATTCAGCCTCCAAGTATCAGTCAAAAAATGGCCAATAAACATCATCACAGTGTATATATACTGTTAAGGATTAGCACATTTGGGATTTTGTATGTTATTTTCTGGGTCTGTTGATCCCAGAAAAAAAAAAAAACAGTTGTATCACTAAGCAAACAACAAGTTTGTTAAATTTGATAGATTTTAAGTATATTTCCCAAAGTCTACATTCACTTTGACATTTGAAAGCTGTCTTGGGGATGCTTCCCTTAATTTGAACTCTTTTTGAGCCTTATCTGTGAGGTGGATATTTGTTGCAAAAAAAAACAATTTTAATATTTATGGAATGTTATAACTTACACCCTTCTAAATCTAATTTTAGATATCATTGCAATATCTTATTTGAAACTAGGGGATATTCAGTTTACTATTACTGAAACATTTGCCTTCATCAAAACATTATAATAATGAATACCGAACAACAAAACACAATCATTTGTAACTTTTTAGAAAATGCACCCTTAAAGAAAGAAGACAAACAATACTAAAATTTAATCTGTCCTTTGGGGCATGAGACAGCTTATAGGTCTAGTCAGCCAGCTAAATGACAGAGAGAAAAGATCATGTGACGAGAGTCTAAGAACTAATTAATCTCCATAAGCTGTGAAGGAGGGAGGTAAGATGACTTGGAATCTGATTACGTTAGCGAATGTAAGGCAGGGAAAATGCAGCATGTATTTTTCATGTTGATTTTAACCACCTGAGCCTTTAATGACATTCTGTGAAGACTCAAATTCCATGTATACGTGAAAAGAAAAAACCATGATGCTAATGTTGTTAGTACATGAGTTACTCATTTTAGTTTAGGAAACTAGGTCATGTATGAGTCCTTTGTAAAAATTACTGAGTGTAAGTAACTACTTTGAAGTTAGTTTATTTCAGAAAGGAAAGTATAAGCCCACAGTTTCAAAGAGAAATCGTCACTTTTTTTTTTGAAAAAATAATGATTCTCAACACTACCTTCAAAAAAAGCAAACAATTACATGTATTTTGGCCAAGGAACATGGATGGATGAATTTTTATTAGGTTTTAAGTTAAAATTTAATTTAAACAATTAGTATATGGTATTTTTCGTACATTGTACTGGAATGACTGTGAACGTAGGGGTTATGCATGTGATTAAAATATAGAGATTTATAGTTTTACTAATAAACACGATTAATCAAGAATTATATATATCATCAGCTATCTACAAAACATCAAAAGGAATGCCACATTTCAGCAGAAACACAAGACTCAGAATTTACTGCCACCATAATCTATTGCAGACTGAATAGAAGCGGAACTTACACTCTTGTTTTATTAAATGGTCATTATTCTTTCATAGTATTTTTAATAAATTTCTAAACATGATGTATTTTACAGAAGCAAAATTTCCATCAATTAATGCATATTTCCTATTTTAAGATTAAAATACGTATCTATGATTTTTCAAGAGAGGACTGAAGGCTTTTCAGTTTTTCTCAGTGTACAAACTTTAGCTGAACCATCCAGATGGACTTTGCTCCTTCATTTTTTTTCCCAATGTCCTTAAGATGAATGGGCGTGATACAGACAGCTGGACACGTAAAGATACACCACCACACACAATGTGGAGAATGAGCTGTCTGACTCCCCAGGCCAGTGGACTAGGCAGAGCCCCCAGAAACCAACAGTATATCACGCTGGAAACGGGAGACATTCCATCTGTTCTGACCTCTGCCTTTACACCCATCTAATATCCTCACTATTCCTTCGTTGTATGCACTGTCTTTCCACTTTCCCCTATAAAGTATGGAAAACACTTCCTCTTCCCCGAATAATCACTGAGGACAGCTATTTCCTGAGTTTTGATATTTTTAGATAATTTAAAAAAATGTAGTTGGTATCAGTTCAAATCTTATCCCTAGGTTTTAGAATCGAGTTACCACTGCTTAAATATCTCAGATCTACACTTCCAGTCATTGATGAACTCAATCATTTGAAGTGTTAAAATAACTCCCATTAATGAGTAATTGGAAATATACATGCTAAGAATAAATGAAAGTGGCAAGTGAAAACTCTGACACTGTAAAACCACATGTTAATAAAATCCTCCATGTGCAAAAACAATTTACATGTTCTAAAAAATATTTACTGGATACAAGAGCACATCTGAGGTTTAAGAAATCATTCCCTATAGTAAGTGCTAATTTTAAGTAGAATTTTATTTTGCCAAGTAATGATGCACACATGCCTGATGCTGTATTAGAGAAATTCTTTAACTGTATTAGAGAGAAATCACTCACTGGCCATACAAAATGAAACATAGAAAGCTTGCCACTCTACATTAAATAAAGTGAATTAGAGGATAATAAAAATAAAATTTAATCAAATGAAAAGAACATTCAAAGAAAAGACTATTGTGATAGTCTACCCTAAATTTTATTCAACTTCCTTCTTTGCTTTTGATATTAAAGAATTGTCCAGTGGTCTTAGATATTCTGAGGTGCAAAATGATTCAACAAAGGAACTCTGAATGTTTTTGACTGACATCGAAGTAACTTTTGGAGGCTTATTTTTTAATGCAGTAATGCATATAATCAGAGTCAGCAGTTAAACCTGCATGTCTATGATCAAACTAAAATGCAAATTTTATTTTTAGTATGGAATTTAAGTTTTTTTTTTTATTTCCTATCTTTTTTTTCTAACTGGCAAGATGTTTCCTAACACATGTGAATTCGGATGGGAATTGAAATCTAGTTCGATAATTGATGAATAGATTTATAACCCACCATGACTCTAAACTGGTAGTCTGATGTGAGTGTTTATTTATTTGCTTATGTATGTGCTTACTAATTACTTAACTCATCTCCTTATGCTCAAAACATTAGATAAAAATCCATTTGAACACACCTTAACGAGAAAGAAGGAAGGCAAATTCTCATTAATATAAAAGCAACTTCACCTCTTCATCTTGATTACAGGAAGTCCCCTATTGTGACAGAATATCACTTAACTCCCCAAAACTAGAAGCAGTGACAACACACATTGTGTTATGCTCTGCCATGTAATAATTTCGTGCAAAGAAAGATTGTGTGACCTCATCCTTGGAAGATCTTAAATTACCAATCAAATATATACGTATAAACTATTTCATTTGTTAAGGTCTTGGTTTTATATATTATTTTGTCTTTGCTTTAACAAATATACTCGGCTATAATGAAAATAAACCTGCTGAAGTCTCTGAGGTCTGAGACAAGCTATAACACATTTCTGCTCCACGGGGTGGGCTCCTGGGATACCTACGGAGAAAATGCATGCCCACTGAGCATGCCCAGACTATTAAAATGAATTGACATGTTAATGCTGACAGGAAAGGAGCACAAGAGAGCTTGCTAAATTACTGCTCAGACAGGCACTGGGAATTCCTGAGTGGCTAACTCCTGAGCAAAACCCACAGCAAGCACAACAACAACAAAACTTTATTGTCAAACGCACCCAAACAAACACTAACAGGGTTGTCATGCTTGTAATCCACCTACCCATAAATCATATGGATTTTAATCATACCTGCCACCTTCGCTGCGTATCCCTGGGGAAATGGTTTTCTTTTGGCTTACTCCTTCATTCATTTTCAATTATCTGGAAGCTGCTCCGTGTGTTTATTTATTTATCTAAAGTTCACGTACAGTATGCATACACAAATTTCCTCTAGGGGTCTGGGATCAGGCGGATCATACTCGGAAGCAGTGGCGCGATGCAGCTAGCACCTCGTGTGAGTAGGCTCAGTCTCACAAACCTCCTTTGGACCATGAAGACATGGGAAGGGGAGGACAGAAAGTAATTAGTGTGCGTACAATGATTGATTATGTCTTAATATTCAGACCACTCTAGATAGACTTAAAAAATAAGGAAACAGGAAGTCCATAGCTTTTGATAAGTGAGGAAAAGAAAACTGTGTCTGTGCCTGTGAGTCATTAGTGTATGGGGAGGCCGAAGAAGGTTTATTCACATATACGGAGTTATTCAATTTGCTGATTGGATGAAAAACTGTAAGAGTTTCATCTATTAAGATGAGCATATGTAAATGACATCGACTTTGGGTTGGCAGAAAGAAGGCGAAGAAAGGGAAGCTGTACTTTTCAAATGAAATCATCCAGTCTTGCTTAAAGCCCTCAAGAACAACATCAGAAAATTGTACCACTAAGTAGTGCCCTGTCCGTGACCTTTATTCAAATCAAGGAGGTAAAAGAGGTGTACACGTACACTGTGATGTCCGCATCCTTTTGACATACAAATCATTATGAAATAAAATTGGGCAAAAATAGATGTGTAACAGAAGATATTTAACTGAAAGCTCTATTCTATGTCAGGCTAAATGACTTTTTTGATACTGTGATGGTGATGATTGTGTGTGTGTGTGTGTGTGTGTGTGTGTGTGTGCAAACTGTGATGCTTTTTAAGCACTTTCTGATCCATACTTGCCATGCTGTGTATGAACTCGTCTCTAGATATGATCTCTTTAGAACACCCATAGAAATTAAAAGGATCACATGGAGTTTGACATTTTGCAAAATGAAAGAATAATGGATTTATTATATTGCGTGGACTTTTCTCCCCTTTTAATAAAAATGTCTGACCCTTGGGAAACTTGGTTGGAAGTTTAGAAGTCTGAATCATTTTTCTTTTTTATATTCCAAAAAATATAAGCGTGTAATTTCCTCAGTTTCATGTATCATTTGATATTTCAAAAAGTTGAGCTTTCTTCTTCATAAATCAGAAAATAAATATCCATTGTTCCTAAAATAACTTGATATTTTATACTGATTAAGAATCTTATATTTGTATGCTTAAATTATTGACTTTCTTTGCTTATTTGTTTCAACTATATTCACATGAAGACCATGCCAGAAAAAAAAACAATAGTTCTGACCACGGACTTGAGGTCTGAACAAAATAAGTAATCGATATCACTTTGACATTAAAATTTTTATTAACAAAACATCAGACTATTTGCATATGTTACATATCTAAACAGAAAATTTGAGGAAAGAAAGATCATTGAGCCAAATTTCATGTGTATCCCTTTAAGAATTTGTTATGTTTTTTTTTTCTATTATTCCCTTAAAATTGTATTCATTAATCTACCAAGCAAATAGTTATTGAGCACCCAATACAGGCCAATCCGGAGCTATATCACAGTGCTTCAGATGAAGCAATTTTTAAAGCTGACATTCATCTCTCCCATTTAAAATTAAAAATTTGAAAATCTGAAATTGTTTTAAACCTGCATACTGTCTTAGATGCATCAAAATAACCAAACATGTCTATAAATTTTTATGTCCCTGCTAACCAATTCCCAAAAAGTGTGCAACCATCAAAGTTTACAATAATCTATTTGCATCACGTGTCTGAGAAGGACAGACAACAGCCCACGGAAGACCACAGAGCAATGCAGAACTATATAACACCTCCATAACAGAAAAGGAAGAGTCAGGAAGGTGAATGACGCTGTGAGTGTATGAGAAGAAACCCCCAGCGTGAAAGAGGCTCCAGCTCTGTCGAATGAAGGGCACGTGGGCGCCTTGGGTTCTGTTAGACCTCCGTGTTGATCCTGACACCGTAAAGGACCAAAGGCCGGATTTCCGTGGTCTTATGGAGAAACAGGAGAAGAGAGAAGAGGAAATAAAAGGTGAAAAGAAATTCTAAAAAAATTTCTTCATAAGGGAGAGGGAGCGGTGGGTTATAAAAAAATAAGAAAATAAAAAAGACGTGAGGTTTGGAGGATGGTGGGAAATACGTCGCACTTGAAAAAGTGTGACCAACTTGTGTTGTAGGCACATATAAAATTATTTTAAAAGTTTACCTTTTTCATTTCTCAGAGGGCACCTTGGAGATCTCAAAAAAAAAAAGAGAGAAGAGTAATTAAAATGAGGGCCTTGATCTGGTATGACTGGTGCGCATGTTAAAAGTGGTGGCAGTCATGTAAAGACACAGAGGGAAAAGAGAAAGCCTACAAACAGAAGAGAAGACTGCGATGGACCAAATCCTGCCTACCCTGGAATATCAGAAATCCAACCTACAATATTATAAGGAAAAAAAATGCCTTTAGATTAAGCCACGTAAATTGCAGTCCTTAATAGTGTTATATGGAATTATTTTGATACCCACTCATCATCTCTGGGGATAATGGTGGTGGTTTAATAGAGACTACTAAGAGACCCTTAGTATTCTTAAAAGGTACCAAATGGGCTTCCCTGGAGATGTGGTGAGAGGGCAAAACAGGAAATTCTTCACTCCAATCTGTCTGGGTAATAGATTTTCTCACCTAGTGAGAGATTTTCAAATTCAGAATCTCTGCACAGTTGGGCTAGTCAGAATTTTTAGCCTTCTAAAAATTTATCTGAGAAAAATCAAATTACCAGAAGAAAGATTTATTTTTAGCTCAGGCGTCTAAAATCTTAGTCTTCGGTCCCTGTTTTCATCATCGCGGGCCTTTGGCAGGAAAGAAGAGTGTATGTGGAAACAGGTGGTGGAGCAAATCCACTGTGATGGAGACATCTTGACTGTCAACTTGATTAGAGCAAGAGGCACCTAGGAGCTGCGTAAAGCTCACCTCTCACCACTGGGCACATCTCTAAGGCGTTCCCAAGAACGATTTAAGAGGGTAGGCCTGCTGGGAATGCAGGGTGGGAAAAAGCACTGTCCTATAGGCTGGGGGCTGATATGGAAAAAAAGCAAAGCCGGCAGTGTAGTTAAAAGGGAGCAAGCATTATCCCTTCCCATTCCTGTTTGCTTGAAGATGAACAATTTCCTCCTCCACATCCCTGCTATTCAGTCTCACCCAAGACCCAAAGTCAGGTACCAAACTGACCGTGTGAACAGAAACTTCTGAAAACAAAAAGCAAATAGGTAATTTTCTTTAAGTTGTTCTCTCAAGCATTTCTGCGCAACTATAGGAAAATAACTGGTACAGCTTCTCTCCTCATGAAATCCAGAAGGAAACAGAAAGGAAGGAATAGGTGTGTGTTTGTGTATGGCCAGGGTAGAAACTCGAGATATAGGTCCACATATTCTCATTAATTAGACTGTATCTGGTTTTACACTTATAGTAGTAGATGAATAAAATAATTCAACATTATGCAAAGTGTTCCTGAGTTGATTAATAATGACAATACTTATTTTATATGTGAATGTGATAGATGACTTATACACACTTATGAGTATTAGTGCACACATGCCTGCGGGTATGTGGAGGCCAGAGGTATTCCTGCCCTTTTGCCTTATTTTTTTGATACAGGGTCTCTCTTTGAACAGGAGGCTAGGATGAGAGGCATCAAGACACAGAAATTCCATTTCTTCTTCCAACAGAGCTGTATTACAGGCATGTATGGTCATACCCACACCTAGCTTCTCATGTGATTGCTGGGGATTCTAATTCAGAGCTTCAGGCTTCTACCACAAGTGCACTTACCCTTGGGTCCTCTCCCCAGCCCCACCACACAGATTTCTAATGAAAAATAAAGTATAGTTGTTGTTCAATATAACTTGGTTATTTCTCCAGTAGTATAAAGATGTATCAGAGAAACATGTGATTAACCATAGGCTTGATTCTAAATTCAGTATTTCTGAGAGAGGTCATGATGTGAGGCTTTCCTAAGTTTTATAAGTTTCTTCCAGAATTTCCCTTGGGGTAGATGAGTCATCTCAGCTAAGTGTAGGAGGAAAAACTACTTAAAAACACAATTTTTTTATATTTCTGAAATGAATTTACACACTTGACAATGCCACTTGGTGTCTGCACAAAATAAAAGGCAAACTATACAGAGTAAATCTCTTTTGCTCAAAGCCAAAGATCTTGTGTGTGTTTTTTGTTACTTTCAGCCTCATCATTCACAGTTATGGGACCTTGAACTAGTGAACAATTCTTGATCTCCGCATCTGTCACTTGAACTGACTGTCAGAGTTATAGATGTATAATTATTATTCCTTATACTGAAAGCTTCACCTAAAAATGAAACTCAGTTCTTGGGCAGCCAGCGTAACTAAGCATTCACTTCTTTCAGGCATGGTTCAAAGTATGAGGTCAGTGGGAGGAGTTTAAAAATCTTCCTATTTTCATTCTTTTTAGCAAATTTATGATATTTTCAGTGGTGTCTGTGTGTGTGCTGTGTACGTGAGTATCTATAGAAACCAAATGTGTAGGGGTGTAGAGTCTCTTGGAGTTCTATTTAAAGCTGATCCTGAGCCACCAGATGTAGGCGCTGGCAACTGAACTGCAATCATTGAAAGTGTGATACGTGCTCGTAACTGATGAGACAGTTCTTCAGACCCCCCACCATCCACTCAATTTCAGCTAGTGACTTCTACCTATCTTGATTCTTCTCTCTTTAGCTGCCACAATCAAGGTCCCATAACACAATTCGTGCAAATTTACTCAAAAGGATATTTTACTAGAACTGTTGCAGGATAGCCAGGGGTGCCACACGGCCAAGAATTCTGTCACACAGGTGAACCTCGGGAAACTGAGTTGCATTTGCGGAATTACGCAAGCCTGTAGGGGGCAGGATTCCACCTGGCTGGGATCTTCTACTGGAGGAAAGCAAGGACCAGCCTTTATGAAATGAAATGGGTTGCAAGGGAACAAAGTGATGCAGATTTTTTTTCTGTGTTCAATGGCCGTCTGGTTTTCATTATCTTGTTCTCTAGGAAGAATTCATCCAAAGAACAAGCAAATAAAAGCAATGTGTATTCTGTGTCTGTCAACCCAACACTGGATGAAAAGGCCACTTTTGCTCCATTATCTAGTGGTGACTGTGGAAAGGTGAAGTGGAGAGAGTCAGGAAAGACGGAGGTAGAACACAGGGAGGTCGTGGTGATAGGAACAAGAGAAAAGAAACACTCTGCTTTCTTATTAGATAGCTTCCCACACTCCACTAAGCTGTAATTCATCCTGCAGGTGCAAACACTGCTGGCTTGCTCGCAGGCTCTTGACGGATGGGCCGGATGCATGATTCTTACCCCAGATGCTCTGAGGAACACCGGCTACGAGATAGGAGAGTGAGTGCACCTGAATCAGCACATTCACTGAGTGGTTTTATCTGATTCTCATTTTCGCAAGAAGTACTGTGCATAGGGTGACAAACATTAAGCAAAAGTCTACTATCTTTCTTTGAATGCAGAAAAATGTGCAATCTACACACCTCCGCAGCCAGTTCTTTGTAGTTGTCTCTGAGGTAATCAATGTACTTATGGCCCCAATTACCCAGGGACACATGACTGAACCATTGTCCCGACCCGAGAAAACATTGTATTGCATCATATGATTAATTCTTATAATTCTTACATGACTTTCATGAATTTGGATTTTTCTACTACACACCGATGGGGTTTGAGTCACTTGAATTGATGGGCCATTCAAAACAGTAAAGCTCACATGATCTGAAACAAAAGGTTCCCCACCCCTGCTCAGTAATTCCCATCAGCTTTAAGGATTTTAAGATTCGAAAGAACACCAACTCTTTCAGGTTAACGTTTCACTGACTCTTGGCAAAATGAAACTTCCTGGTTGAAAAAAAAAGAAGTTTATGAAAAAGCTCACAAGGGTTCTTAGACATCAAATGGGTCTTACGAAACCACATTTTGATGAGCTAAGTGTAAATGAATCAGAAACACATGGATTAAATTTCCCTTGAAATACACATGGGTTTGAAAATTAAGGAAAAAGTGTTTAGCCAAATGTGTTTTGGGTTTTCTTGAACTGAAAACATTTGAAAAAAAGCTGAAGTATTTGCTAAACCCTAATATGCTGTTATGTTTGCTCAACCTTTTTCCAAATCAATTAAGTTTCCACGAAGCTTCCTCCATCCCCTTGTGGTTTGTCTTGTCACCTCTGTCCTGACACTTTATAAGCCAAACTAAATTTCCATTAAAAAAAATACTGAGTTGCTCATCTACTTAAAAAATGAGGTAGCCATTAAAACACACTGAGAATCAGAGGCATTAAGGGACGGAAAGCACCCGTTAGGTCATGCCCTGTGTCCTAAGGGGTGGAGCATAGGCACTCACAACTCTCCAGTGCTTTCTCCTGCACAGTTTTCAGTATCTCAAATGACAGGACTTCTCTATGTCCCCTGGGAGAACATGGTGCATTCTAATAGACTTGGCCATTAGGAGCAGTGCTGAAGAGTGTGCTGGGGGAGGGGGGAAGGCAGGGTGACTGATTAACCCTTTCACTACTCTAACAGTGACCTGTAGCATGCTCTGGGACTTTAGGGCTTTAGTGCTAATGAATGAACAAACTGTGGATAGTTTTTATTCAGAAAACATTTTTTGGCTAAAGGAAAAAAAAATGTTGCCCATTGCATTGCAACACAAATTTCTACAGTGAGCAACCCCTTCACAAGAGAGATAGGGTATGTTAAATATCCTATCAGTTGATTTTATCTGCACTATTACTCGAAAGAGCATACAATGAAAATCTTAGGATGCTTGACTGACCAGGAAATGCTGCATGACTAGGACTTGCCAACCCTGAAAGACCTTTGTTCAGCTTCCAAGCTCTTTTCCTTAAAGAGTAAGTAAATGTATTTCCCACTTCTGCACCTAAAGAAGGTACCACGTTTGGAAGGAAACATCTATCTGTCTTTCTTGACAGGCAGAAAAGCCTAGCTTTCAATATAACTAACACGTTTTCAAAGGTCTTCAGGCAGAGTTTACATGAATTTGCTCTCCCTCTCGTTCTACTTACAAATGAGGTCTAAGGCACCTAATGACTTACACGGCCTGTCATACCGCTACTACACTGACCTTTTCAAGAGTCTGCATTGGGAACAGCTGACAGGCACACCTCTTCCACGCCAGTTATTTCAACCTATAAAACTTAGTCACCAAAGTGG